GCCTTAGTTTTGTTAAAGTCTCACAATATCATGTTGCATTAATGGTTTCACCTCTGAGAAGAAATTCAGTAATCAAAACGCCTTTCTTATCCCAGAAGACAGTGCATATGATTTTTTGTGATGACATTGTCACTTTGAACTTTTGTTTTTTCGGAGAATGAGTGTGTCTCCACTTCATCAATTGTTGTTTCGATTCTGGTGTGAAATGACACACCCAAGTTTCATCACCAGTCACAATTTTGTTTAAAAAGTTTTCTTCCTCATCACTGTACTGCATGAGAAATGCCAGGGCACTACCACGTCGCTTTGTTTTGTGAACATCAGTGAGCCTTTTTGGAACCCATCCGGAACACAGTTTGCGATAATTCAAGCGGTCAGACACAATTTCGAACAAAACAGTACGTGAAATTTCTGGAAATGTCTCTGAAAGAGTTGTCATTGTGAAGCGTCTGTTCTCATGAATTGCTTCATCAACTTTCCTTACCAAATCATCGGTGACAAGAGAAGGCCGACCACTCCGAGCCTCGACATGGACATTTGTTCGACCTGCATTAAACATTCTTACCTACTTTCTCACCATTCCATTACTTATCGCGTATTCACCGTAAACTTCTGTCCCTTGACGATAAATTTCAGCCGGTTTAACATTCCTCGCGTTCAAAAATTTAATCACGGCATGAATCTCACAGTCAGCGGGAGAACTAATTGTCTTAAACATTTTGAATGTGCACAGCAAACTGAAAACACAACATAGAACAACTAAAATGGAGACAATTGAAAGTCAGTGAACAAGAAAGACTAGTGCGCATTCACGGGATGCCTACCACAGTGCTGCGACGACGCTAGAATGAAACGGTACTTAGTTTCCGAATACGCTACATACATGAAAATTTCTGCTAGCTTTTAATGTATCTGATTTCAGTTTGGATGTATATTGGAAGAAAAGGATCAAGGTACAAAATGAAAGAGTCATTTTTTAATTAAAATCAAGAAAATATCACTTATTCATGACATTTTGAGGAACTTTTAAATTTCAAGGCTAAACCCGTAATGCTCAGAGTGTTAATTTTGAACAGACTTATGTTCTCAGAAGCAGAATACAGTTTCCCTTAGAAAATGTAATCCGAGTATGCAAAGATCTGCAATATTTGCCACACATGGCATGTGTTGATAAGTAGCACTTCCAAATGTGATGTTAACATTTAACTTTCCACTCATGCCGATTTTATCACAGGACACATTCTGGAGGGCATCGTCCAGATAAGGCATCGTCCAGATGAGTTTACCTTCCAGTTGTTGATGCAAATCTTTCTGAATGATAGTAACAATGGTTCCTGGATAGATGGTTATATTACAAAGAACTCAATTTGTATGTCCTATTATGAAGAGTCTATTTCTGCTACAAGTCACTGCAGAAATCTGAAGAACTTTAAAATGAAGCTTTTCAATATCTGGCAACCTCCAACTCACAAAATGGCGACTAATTTCTCTCTACTTTGTTGGAAGTAGTCTTAACACAAGTGCCTTGAGGTGTTCTGCAGTTCTTTCATATGTGGCCTTTACCACCACAGTTCTAGCACTTTAGGGTCAATTTCTTGCCACTCCTATTCAGTCTCAAGGCATTGACGTACCTGGTTAAATTGCCTAGATCAGTTGACCCATTAACTCCTGGACAAGATCAGCTTTGATTGGGTGGTGGTTTCTATGGCTCGTTTGCTAAGCTGCCTAGAGTTTCATGGTGTACAAAGCAGTTTTTAGAACCTTGACATCTGGGAGTTACAGGATGTTCTGTTTCTCAGGATCCTAAACACCATTGATGAAATACTGCACGGATAGGATATATGAGCTCTTTAAGCATTTCCATGGACTTCTTTGGTGAGATTTTAACTAAAGCCTGCTATAAACTTTTAAATATATCTTGCCAAATGTGCAGCTCCGATGCACCAAAGAGAGCTCCAAAGTCTAGCCTCTAGCTTTTGAGGCATAGTCTGGACGAAATCCGCAGCATTTGCTCTCAGAAAAGCAGCAAGATAGTAGGCCTTAGCTTGGAAATCCCATCCAGGACCAGAACTGATGCCCCACTCCAGTCTTATATAGTTTTCCCTCGACTGCCAGAAATTTTCCAGTACCTTCGATTCCTCAAAATTTCTGGAAGGCATACACAATTACAGTTACACAGGGCTACATATGAATAGTGATAGAACCAGTTACAATTACTAAAGGATTGGACCAAAATGTTGTCAAATGGCTGTTTAGCAAAAAAAAAAAAAAAAAATTAGTCACCAAAACCACTGCCAGTTTGTCACTATCTCGCCAATTTGGGAAGATAATGCCTACATTGAGATAAACGGCTATGTAATTGTGCATTGTCTAGGCATACTCCGTCTCTCCTGAAAGTTTGTCAATGCTGTACTGATACACCCTGTATATAGTACACTATCTGAAATGTTTTCTATATTTATTCATGAGTGGCCTAAAAACTCTTAGAAGATTATCTTGGATTATCTACTCACAACAATTCCTTTTCAGAATCATCTAAATCCAGGCTTCAACCAGAACTGCTTGAATTCTTGGTAAGGAAAACGTCTTATTATTCTGTATAATTCCTTCATTACTAGAATCATCATCAGTGAGCTCATTGTCCCAGGAATAATATGTCAAACTGTCTGCACACAATTCTTTAGCATTACATTCTGCTCTATTATGGTCCCTTTTCAGGAATTTTCTATAAAAAAGTCATTGTAAAAGTATCACTTTGTAACCAAAAATAATCACACATAATTCGTAGACATGAGTTTTGTCATCACCCGTATTTTAACAGGGTTGCCACTCAAACAGGAGAATAAAATTCCCTGACTTTTCCAGGTGTGTTTTAAGAAAATTCCAGTCTATACACATAATGCACATTGGCTGTGCTAAGAGGTAAATTAATTATGGTATTACTTGAGAACACAAAAATTTGTCAATTACATACGACTTTATATATATATATATATATATTATATAATCCCCAAAGCATTACTATTTTAACTATATAAAAGGAATTGTTTTCTCCGCTGAAGATTAAGATTAGAATCTGCCCAATCTGGATTAAAAAATGTCTTTTTTTGAAGACATTTTGCAGCTAAACAAAAGAAATGTAATTACATTTTAAAATAAATTAAGGTATTTTATATTTATTCAGCAGCATACATACGAAAAAATATGTGCATTAAATTTCATAATAGCATGTCATCATGCTGCTAGAATTAATTTCATGATTTTGCCAGAGAAAATTTTCCTGACACTTGAATGCATTATTTACTAATAATAAATTTAGAGGGAAGAAGCAGCATTAAATGATACGGATAACAAAAATAAAGATAATTACTTAAAAACTTAATTGGAACAATCAACAATATTTTAGCGAATATAGTTATATTTAACGGTTAGCCTAGATGACTGATTACTATTTTTTTATTTTACTGCAAAATGACAAATAAGGCATTTGTTAAAAGGGAAAAAAAGGCTTAAAAGATTTTGTGGTAAAATCCTAGTATATGTTGGTAAGGCCTTGGGCAAGAATTTGAAAATTGTCGCCAACATTAAAATGACCCGTTTACTGCTCATCATAATAGCACCATATCCCGTGTGTACCGGACATGGAAGTTAGAATAGAATATGTGGAGTTTATTCTAACCAAAGAACGTCTATGTAAACAAGGAAAGGTTCCATAAACGTAATGCTATTACGCCGCTAGAAAGTGACGGGAAAACTCACCAAAGGATTTGCCAATGGAACCTGACGGCCAGAATTTCCCTCTCTGCGATATGTGCAGGAAATTGAGGAACACGAGTTAAGAAGAAATATTCTTTGACAAAATTTTTTTCTTTGATTTTTCGCAATAATTTAAACACGGATTTTCGAAGTTTTTTTTTTTTTATTCCTCAAAATAATCAATCCATTAATTAACTTACTTGAATGAAAAAATACTTTCTCTTGCTTTAAAGTTTAAAGAAATTTTAAACGAAATTCATTATATGAACTTTTGACCTTTGAACTTCGGCACCGGCTTCGAACTTTGGCAAGATATTTCGTGCATGCGCAGCTGTTTCCCTCTACGTTGGAACGGAGCAGTTTTCCTTCTTAACAATACATATTCTTTGATTCTAACTTTGCTGGTACCATATATTAGGATTAAATCGATTTTGTTTTATACAAGAACAAGTATTTTGTTTAGTTCAACATGCACTTCATATGCTCATGCTATTCTCTTGATTCTCAAGGTTACTGGAAACTTGCTTTGCATTTCTAAAAGACAATCTAATCAGAGCTGCAAAAATTGGCTTTACGCCAGCTGCCCGAATGATGCTCCGCGACACACAATTCGCCAAGAAAGTGATTGCTTCCAACGTCGAAGCAAACTCACTTTTGAGGGGTGGGTGTCATCCCCATATGAATTTCTCCTACTTTTCCATATTTAGACCAAAATATTTAAATTCCTTGACTTTTCCCTGAATTTTTTGGTCAATTTTTAAATTCCCTTTTTCTGGTTTTCCAGGTAGCATGGCAATCCTGTTTTAATAACTATCTGTGCAAAATGAGTTCAGTCATTTCCCATGCTTTAATAACAATATGCACAAAACGAGTTCAGTTGTTTTCAATTTACAATGCGTTAAAATTTCGTTCAGTAACTGGCTCATGATTTTTCATTAAAAATTCAACACTCAGCGAAGTACTTCTTTTATACATAAAAAATACGTACTGACTCAAATACGTATTATTTCAAAAAAGAATTTAACATCACAAACCAAAACATATTTTTTCAGCATAATTGCATTTTTATTTTTTTATGAAAGTAAAAATAAAAATATATCACAATAAAGAAAAAAAATAAAGATAAATTAACTTTACTGTCTGTAATGTGTGCCAACTTTGGTTATTAAAAACCATACACACTCCTGCTGGAACAATATTTCACAATGAAGGACAGAGCTAGCAACTTACTATTAGCAACTTACCTTAGTGTAGGAGCCACTATTAGACCAATTAAGGCAATTCTTCCAACACTTAGAGGATGACCAGGTGGAATTTCAAATATATGTTTCAAGAAGAATGTATTCAACTCGGTAACCTTTAAAATAACTTTCAGGTAAAAATGTAATTTGAGTTGATTTCAGACAAAAAAAAAGCATAATATCAGATAAATTAATATTTTCCTTAGTAAATTTACATATTTAATACAAAGGTATTCCCACCTTTTGACTTCTTTTTATATACAATACCAAAATCCAAGCATTAAATACATAACTGCTTTCTCAAGGTATTTTATTATTTATAACATTAAAAAAAGCTATTTTTTATTTATAGATATATGTACAGCAAAAGAAATACTTAGATACAGATTTAATGTGTGTTACTTAACTTTTGCCAGCATCTGCAAGTGCACTATTTATACTTTTTAACAGCCAAAATACACTGGTGAAATAAATTAAGAGAATTTGCATATTTTATCGAATTGCATTAAAATAACTGAAGGAAAAACCACTGCTTCTACATAAAAATGCAAATATTGTATGGTAAATACGTAAACGTAGACATGTGTGTAGGCAGAGCCTGCAGAAAAACAGGCTTTATAAGTGAGTGGAAGGTAAGACGAATTGTGTTCACTAAGCACACCTCGCCGAATTTCTTGGTGTTATCTTGCAGCAATCAGTTAAATTCACATCGGAACAGAAAAAAATGAGTAACCGCCAACGTTTATATGACAGAATGAGGTGGCGAACTGTGGGGAGGCTAGAGGCAGGCCAATCTCAAGTCCAGATAGGCAGAGAGATTAATCTAATGCCCAGTCGTGTGTAACCTATGGACACAGTTCCAGGATACTGTATCCAATCGAAGGAAAAACCTGGGAAGGTCGTCCAAGAGCCACGATGGCCAGAAGAAGATTGCTATTTGTCCATTTTAGCGAGGCGTAACGGAAGGAGCTACAGCTTCTCAGCTCACTCGGGACCTGCATGCAGCCACAGGAACCCGTGAAACAAGGGTGACCGTTTCCAAAAGACTGAATAAAAGAGGTTTGTTTGCGTCCTGCTCATGTCTACGGACAGGCGAGTCCGATTAGCATGGTGCAGGCAGCATAATGATTGGAGTACGAAGCAACGGGTGACTGTTCTGTTCACCGACAAGTCCCGTTTTAGCCTACACACCGATTCTCGCCGTACTTTCATACTGAGAGAGCAACGGACCCGCTACCTACCCTCCAATGTCCACGAAAGCAACAATTATCGTGCTGGCGTGGAATGGTCTCGGCAGGCATCATGTTGGACGGCCGCACAACTCTCCACATCTCTGACAGAGGCTTAGTGACTGGTGTGAGGTATAAAGATGAGGTTTTGGAGTCCTATGTTCGCCTTTACCGGGATGCAGTGGGCCCTGAGTTCATCTTACAGGATGATAACGCGAGGCCACAAAGAGCTCTTATGGTCGACGAATTTCTCGAGAGTGAGGATATTCACCGGAATGATTGGCCAGCCAGGTCTCCAGACCTCAACCCTATAGAGTATGTCTGGGACGCTCTGGGAATAGGAACTGCAACTCGCAACCCCCCTCCGAGAACCATCCAGGAACTGAAAACAGCGTTGCTGAATGAGTGGGACCAATTGCCCCAGACACTGATAAACTACCTTATTTCCATGTTACACACAAACATGTGTGTCTATTATAACTGTTGAATGTTTATTTTGTTTGTATTATATCAACCTATGTTCACACCAACTTTTATTAAAATCTATCCAGTAGTTCTGGAGATCATAGATCAAATATGAAAATTCTCTTAATTTCTTTCACCATGGGTCTAGAAGATTCCAAGCAGCCAAGTTTTGCCCTCAAACCATTGTTCCCAAAAAGGCCACAAGCAAGTGGTATTCCCCTACAAATTGTTCCTCAACTTTATAAGGTATTTTCCCCCTCCTCTCCACATGCCTTCATGGTGCAGTTGGAAGCATACTCGATAGGAATTTGAAAGATCCAGGATTCAAGTCACAATGAGGGACTAACAAAAGGAGGTGGGCAATAATTCGTCCCAACCAAGATTTGGCAACTGAGTCCCATAATAGACAGTCCGCCTTTAAAAAAAGAAGTATATAAGGTATTTTCTCCCTTCTTTCTGCATGCCTTCACAATGTAATTAAAACTATACGCATATTCAAGAGGTCCAGGGTTTGAGTCCCGGCGAGAGCTTTGCAAATATTTTACGTCTCCTGTTTCAAAATAACCTAATGACTCTACAACTTATTTTCTTCTAATATACAAAAAACGTTATCTATCTTGGTACACTGTAAGATGAACGTCTATATACTTAAAGATATCACAACTTTTTAACATATATGTATACAGCTTAGTCACTTCAAGGGTTAAAATTGACAGCTACAAGAAAAGGCAGGTATAGATTTTAATTACAGATTTTGGTAATTATGTATTATGTGATCTAGTACTTTTAGTTAGTTATTTCTTCCTTAGATACTGCCCTTAAACCACTATTTTTAAATATGAAAATAAAGACAAATAATTAACAATACATAAATGAAAATAGTTCTATTAATTTAACAGTCTGTTAAATTTTGAATTCCATTAAATTTCTTCCAATTTTATAAAATAAAATGAGTTGCCCCTAAAAGAGCCATTTTTATGAGTTGCTAGGTCATATACATTATGAATGTTAGGCAAAATGACCAAAATCTATTCATCACTTTTATTAACAGTTCTTCGCCATAGTTCTTTGAGATAACATGGAAGCATCTGTAGTGTGCTACTCTGTGTGTGATATAGAATCTTCAGTTTTAAAATCCCTCAGCATTATTCAGTTATTGAGCATGGGTACCATCTGTAGGATAGACAAAATACTAAAATTGTTAGTCTAGCTTTGGAATTTTTAACACTAATTGGAACCTTTTCTGTAGAGGTTGCCAAGGTATTTTGCTGGAATATTGCCAGAAAAGGCCAGTTTCATTAACGCTGAAATTTTGTCCTGGAGATAGCAAGCCATTATTAAAGAGTTCAATGAGTTCATCTGCAAATAGTTTAGCAGCTTCAGTATCAGCTGAAGGTTTTTCAACCTAAAATTTTTAATGCCATTATACTGCGCCAATTTCTTTAACTGATTGAACATGTGCACTCAGTTTTTAAGTTCATTTTATCATGAAATATTTTGGCTTGAGCCATTAGCACTGGACCCGTTTCCGCCCTCACTGCGTCTCTGTCTGACCGTTCAATCATCACTTTTAGCATAGCGAATAATATTTTATTATTTTCCGTTATTCATTGCGAGTGGGGGTGTCGGAATCCACAAAAAATTCATAAAGATCCTTTTTCTTTTATGTCATATGCAGTTGACTTTACAATGCCATATTCCTTGCTTAATTTTGAGAGGGATATACATTTATCCATTTTTTGTAGCAATTCCACTTTTTTTTTAATGGACAACAAAACATGCTTTCGCTTTGCAGATCCTGTTGCAGCTCCAGAATTAGAAACTATTTTTGACATAATCGAAAGTTCATACTTTAGTTTTCATAAAATTGCAGTAACTATAACACAGCCTGCAGAAAATAGTAAGCTGGATCAAATCAGAAAGTTAAGGAACAGCGTAATCTGCTATATTAACTGAATTTTTTTTGAATCAATAAAGTATAATTTTAGCCTAGCATAACAGCATCTGCTATACATTGCTGGCTATGTAGCATGAGACTGGAGATGAAAGACAAAATGATCCGTTAAATTTTGTCTTCTTTCGCGCACTGAGACAGACAATTAAACCTAATTGTATTAATTTAGTTATTTTTTATACTTACATCTACTAAGAAGTAGATAAGACACTTTTTATACTTACGTCTACTAAGAATTAGATAAGACACTTTTTATACTTACGTCTACTAAGAAGTAGAGAAGATCATGTACAAGAGCACATGATCAAGGCTTATCTGAGTCCTGAATAAATAAATTCCCACATATACTTAAGCTTACTAAGGGCAAGTGCTAGGTATTTTGCCGCCTGATGCAGTCTCTGCAAGTTTTAAATTCGGCTACCAAGGACCTCCTGAAGTACATAATTTTTTCCACTCTTAAATTTTGACTCCCATTACTTTTCCTAAATTCTACAAATTTTATCATTCCTTACTCAGTACTTCTCTAAATTCTAAAAATTTTGTCTTCCCTAAATTCTGTTGCCCAGTGCAGCCATAGGAGCTTTGGCACAGGCACTAGAATAGAAAAATTAGTTATTCTTAATTCAAAATAGCACTAAATGTAATCTTTTGGCCTATAAGTATCATTAACAAAATCTATTATTAGCAAATGGAAAGCAATTTTTGTTACATTTTACTTTGTCAACATTTAGCGCATTTAAATTAAATCTGTAATTATCGCCAAATGTAATGTCAACATAAAAGGTTTCCATACTCTTTGTTATTCAAATAGTAATATAAAAAAATTGTGTAGGCATTGCTGCACGAGTCATTACTCAAGTTGTCATGTGTAGATAAACATATGGTAATGACAGCAAAATATAATAAATAATAATTTGTCAAGTTGGCATTAGAGATATAAAATATTAGTAGTCATAAAATCAACTGTTTCTATGTAGAATGTTTCAGTTTGAGATGTATTTGGAAAAGTTTTGCTGCTATGGAGCCAAATTATTAATCACATAAATTTATGCTAAAATGATTGTTTCTTCATTAATGAGGTACTTTATTTAGTGCTGAAGTGAAATTAAGAATCGGAATTCTGCTGAAGGCAGAATACAATTAAGAATGAAGATGTTTTTAAACACCTATTTCTCCAAAAACTGTAGTTGTTTTTGTCCTCACACATGAATATTTCAAGCAATTTCCTTATCAGTGAATAAATAATGCTGCGGTATGATCATAAACAAGGTACAGATAATAAAATATTTAAACAAGAGAAATTTTAGAAATAAGAAAAAGAAAAAAAATCTGAAAGGTTTCAGATTTTAAATTACGTCCAAAGGGGTATTTTTTTAAATTTTAATAATTTAACAGGGGTTATGTGTTACCTTTATTTATTAAATATCATGTTCTTTGCACTTAAACCATAAAATTCAGTTCAACAGCAATGTGGCAAAATAATTTTTAAATGAGAATATCTTTTCCGATGCACAGTTCCGCGCACTGGAGATAAAAAGGGTTCCTCCCTTTTTCCTAATAACAATATATTTAGATTAAGAGTTTGCATTAAATAACAATCAATTCCCAATTAAGTAAGCCTTTTTAAAAAGAAAAGTTAAGCTTGTTGTCTCAGAACAATGGAAAAATACTGTCATAAACTATCAGTTAAAATAAAATAAAATGGTACATGAAAAATTACAAAAAAGAGGGGGGGAAAGTACATGGGAGAACAGCATTGTGAAAACAGATGTCACAGCATTAGTAAATTTAAATCATCTACAAAATAAGATCACTATTCTTAGGAGAAAAAAAAAGGTAAAGTTATAAAAGAAAATATTTGCCAAAAAATTAAATTCTAACCCACTTCTTTTTTCAAGTTTGAATTCAATGACATTATTTAAGTTATATAATAAATATTGTTCTTTAAAGCCATTTATAACTTAGTTTCTTCATTCCTAATGATGTTTCTTCCATTTCTTAAAGCAAGTTCTTTTTGTTTTGAATGATTTAAATTTTTATAATCAACTTAACTTATTCTTTACATTAAATGGCTTGAAAACATGGATGGGCTGTTAAAAGTATTCTTCTGTTAATTATTACAATATTAATTATTTTTCTTTTCTTTGATTTTTTAACTGCCCTGGGGGGGGGGGGGGGGGGGGGGGGGGGGGGGGGGGGGTGGGGGGGGGGGGGGGGGGGGGGGGGTGGGGGGGGGGGGAGGGGGGGGGGGGGGGGGGGGGGGGGGGGGGGGGGGGGGGGAATGGGGGGGGGGGGGTGACCATCAGTTAACCAAAGCCGGTTATCTACAACACTGAACAAGTTAATCGGAAGTTTACACTATGTAATTTTTTTTTTGGCATGCATCTGCAGTTTTTTCATTCTAACCACACACAAAAGGAAACAAAATTCATTAAAAAAAAAAATTACCTGCCAAAACAGAACAAGTTGATAAACAGCAAAGAAACGCATATAAGTACAATTGGGATCAAGCCACCGAACATGAGTCCAACTAAAGAAAAACAATTAACATCATGCCACGTTATATGGTGAGAAGAGAAAAGAAAAAGTGATTAATATAATATTAGGTTGCATGACAATACAAAAACAAATAATCATTTAACTGTGTTGTACCTTACCTAGCAGGTGTAAACTGTAATACAGCTCTACGAATTTTTCCTTTGGTGCTTGGAATGGACCTGAAAAGAAATTCACATATATGAAATATCTATGGAATACAGAGTAAAATTTTGAATGGCTTATTTTTCAGAAAGGTAGAAGAAATATTCAAATTAAGAAATATTTTGGGAACTATTACAAATTAAAATATCTTACATATTTAATTAAAATTATATTAAAAATATATATACAATTAATGTATAGTGACTAAGGCCTCCCTAAAAAACGTTTCAGTCAAGAAGAGATGACTTGAAATGTTTGAGAAACACTACGTAAAAAATAATGCTTTACTCACTTGATACTTTCCCATTCATATGTTTCATTCTCCAATTTGCGGCATAAAACCATGCCCAAATAAATTCCAGTACCGTTGCACAACAGTATATCCAGAATTAATGCATCCCACCAACATTCCACAAAATTGGGAAGCAGATGAGCAAAAGCCACCTAGCAAGAAAATACTTACATATTAACTCCCTGACATATGAATAAAATTCAAAGCTAAAGTGCTTAAAAAGGTAAAAATATGAATGAATTTACTTTTAGACTAATTGCAGTTACATTACATAATGCTATTTTAACATTAATAATATATGATACATTCCAAATATCAGTGTAGCGAAAGGTTAAGAAAAAGAAATTTTATGCATTAATTAGATGGATACCTAGGCATCATATGCCTAATTATCCATGCCTGCTAATTAATGCATAAGTATGGATAAATAGCCAAAAATACAAAAAAAATGGCTGTATTAAAATGATCAATTCATATAAACCATGATTAAAAAAGGGGGAGAGAAAACCCGTTTAAATGAATGATGCAACTATACCACTTAAAATAAGTTTTAATTAACACTCCTAGAGTCATGGTTGTTTGGACCTACCACGGAAAAGTTGTATTCAAGCAACATTTATTAGCTAGATTTATATAATTACATATTTTACTGTTTGATTTCATAAGTTTCCATATATTAGGATAATAGTTTGATCACTAGAAAATATACCAGAAAAAATATTTTAAATACAAGTCAGTATCTTAAGTAACAGAAAATCTCATGATCAGATAAAAGCAGTCATGGTGTTCAAAAGGTTAAATAATTACAAAGGTCCTACATCCAGAATTATGAGAACTTCAATTCTGGATTTTAGATCATAATTTAAATTCAGTAAAATTACATTAAGAAACTACAAAATTAAAAATACGAAATAGCTGTTTATGAAATAATGAAGCCTTTATGACCTTAAGGGAATCAAAACTTAGAGGCGAAAAATGGGGTTCAATATTTATTTGCTTGTTTTATTAAAGACTTCTTTTCAATAAAAGCTGTTGATGCTTTTTATGTTTTGTGCTAATATTTTCTCTTTAATTTCATATATAGACACAATTTCGTGATCAGTTATAAAGTTCCATTGATCCAGCCCCAAATGCTCTGTCAAAATTTCCATCTAAATTGTCAATCTACATCTTTACATTTTCAAAAATAACTTGGTTTGGTTTGGTTTATTACATTACGGCAAAGCACTCGAGAGCTATCTGCCTTAAGGGAGGGATGCCTTCGCGGAGGACTTTTTAAGGGAAATTGGCTCATATACACATTACACAAGGGGAAAACCACGCAAACACCCATGCAAACAGCCCGTTCGCTGGATTCGAACCTCGGACCAAACTACCAGTGTTCAGCGACGTTACCGCTCGGCCGCTGGTGGGCACCAAAAACAACTTAGTCACTGTCAGTAGTGATAAGTTTACATTTAAAACCATTCTACAAATTTCACTATTTATTATAGGTCACTGTCAACACAATGAAAAACTTTTGTTATACCTTCATTTTTAATGTCACTTCAACATTTCTTCATAAATTCCATTAACTGGGAAATTCTGTCTTCTGCAGCATTCAAAATTCATGACAAAATAAGGTTGCTGTTTTTCCTATTTTTTTAAATTGCATTTTCTTAAGTTCAAATTGTACCAAGACCATTTTATCTCACCAAAGCATTACAGAAGGGAAGTACCAAATAAGCTTTCACTTTGTGGGTCCTGCTATAGCTCCAAAACTTGAAAAGCCTTTTCAACGTAACCAAAAATTCAAACCTTAATTTGGATAAGATAGCTGCAATAAACACAGCCTACAAAAATTAATGAGCTGGACCAAAATAGTTGAAGATTAGTTATTAATTAATTAGCTTAGTTAACTGAACTTAATTCCTTCCAAATCTAATTTTCCCGCTCTTTTTGCTGTTAAGCTAATGAAAGAAAACCAGTATTAGCATTATTCCACTCCAAAGAAATATGTTTAGGGGTTTCACTCATTGTTTAGGTAAAACAGAGAAATATTAACCTCTTCTACCTATACAACCACTCAATGGCTGAAAGTGAGGTCACACCTAAAGTCAATCAATGTGTTGTCATTGGTCACAAGTGCTGGCTGGGGAATCATTCCCCAGCCAGCACTTGTGACGTACAGATCTCAGTCTGGAAAAAAATCACTTTTATGACACATCTGGTTTTTCTGGAATATTCTGCATTCTGAAATCTTGTTTTTTAAAAAATGTACTGATGATCATAGGTCTGGATATTAGATCGTTCTTGATACTGGATGTCTGGACTGTGTACAGTAGTACACTTTTTATCAGATGTTTAATCACTTTTTTCAATTAAAAAACTATATATAACAGACTAGTCCATAATTTTTTCAAAGTGTTATGTGGATATTTCATCAGAGAATGGTAAAAATAGAACAAAACAACATAATCTTACTTTAATACTGGTTAAATATCTCATCTGATCATTCTAGTGCCCCACTATGACCTCATTCACCACCTCCAGTATTTCTGTAGTTTTTTGCCAACTGCCACTACATTATTGTTTCAGGAATGTTTTAGTCTAATAAAATAGCGTAACATTTGTGATTTTCAGGGTTCATACACACTTCTGCACATGAAAATTAAGTTTGGCTTATGTGATTAGAGCAAAAGCTATTTGCCTAAGGGAAGGGATGCCTTCGTGGAGCTTGTACACATGTTACACATGGGAAAAACATGAAAACACCCATGCAGCCAGCCCATCCACAGGATTTGAACATCAAGTGTTGAAATTAAATGCTTTCAATGATCTATAAAGGAAATAGGAACAGAATAAATTACTATTTTTTGTAAAAAAAACAAATATGAATTTCTTTAGCATGTATGACCTCCCCTGATTGATAATAGGAACACGACAATGGAGATGTGAACCTAAGATTGGTGATGTGTAAGATGGGAGTTCTAAGCACACCATTCTAATATAAATGTCCTGAGTGTAGATGTCGTGAGGTGATTCCTCAAAATCTTATGCAGAGATGAACTTTCTCTTGTTTTTTAGGTCAAGTGCACATAATTTCATCAAGATTGGAATAAAAATGTAAATTTGTATGTGCATTATTCATACACTCTGCATTATATATACACAGATGAAGTAGACATATCTTGTTTTGAACCTCCTAAGTTTTTCTACCCGCAGGGTGACAGACAGATCAAGCTTATGTGAGAAGGAAAGGTATACAGACAACAGTTTTGTAATTCAAAAGAAGAAAAGAAAACTTTAAATTTTTTTAAATGAATTTGAAAAGCCAGATAAAAAAGATGGGAGAGAAAACAAATAAAAATATACAGATGATTTTAAAAATAAAAAAAAAAAAAAAAGAAAGAAAAAGAAAATCTGAAAGGTTTCAGATTTTAAATTACGTCCAAATTATCAATAGTAAATTTATATACTACATATTATACATTATAACAAGATAATAAGCAAGAGAAAAATACTGCACACCCATAATTTCAAACCACAATTTTTAATTTTTAAGTATATTAAGCACATAACGTGCACCCTTTTCTTTAAAAAGAAACCTGAAAGATAGATGTGTGATGTTTACCTTTTGAAGTCATTCATTGCTGGGAATATTTTTCACAGGCTTTTGATCAATGGTATACTGAACTGAGAAGCGATAATGGGATCAACATGTATAGGGGAAGAAATGCTTTGGCAGAGTAAATAATTCTGCAAAGAGCAGGGATTGTATTTAATGCAGATGTGCAAAAGTATGTTATTCTAAAGTTTTGGGAAAAAGGGGTCATAATTTAGGTAAGATTGCACTTCTGACCCAAAAAACAATGGATTAGCAAGGTTGTTTGATGTTGGTGAAAGCTCGATATGGGGGGGGAAGAAAAAAATCACAGTAATTAATAGGCCAAAAAATAAATGTGCTTTGGGTAAAGGTTTAAAAAATGGTCTAGCCTAAAAAATATTACAAAATGGGTCTTAAAAATCGTTGGATGTACAAATTGTACAAAACAAGAAGAAACAGAACACGTTTATTTAACCTTAAAATAAGCAAAAAAAAAAAAAAAAAAGAATGCAAATTTTAAAAAAATTTTAAAGAACTCCGAGTTGGTAAACTTGATTTATGGCATGGAGTAATTTAGTACTACGAGAAAAAGCAGATGAAATAAATTTTATAAAATTAATAACAAATGAAATAAATTTTATAAAAGTTTCTTTGCTCCCTCTCCCTTGCAATGGCAAGCACTAGCCATTATAGGCATTGGCCACTACAAAGGTGGAAGAGTGGTCACTTTATTACAGAGGCACCTAACAGGTGGGCCACTGTTGCCTCCTATGAATGGACAGACAATTTATATACATGCCTTCTCTTGGATTCAAATGCGGGCCCTTTGTTACATCAATCAGAGTCACTAATCATTTTGCAATCTGAGCAGCAAATTTATAAAAATAATGAACCATAAAATATAAGCCACTTACTTCTGTTATTTCCCAAGTAACACTTATAGTCCAACAAATACCATAATGTCTAACCAACATAGCTTTCATTGCCCATCCAAAAAAATGTCCAAATGCAAAAACGTCAACATGACTCCAAACTCTCTCTATAGTAACATCAGAACAATTTACACCATACTCCTGAAAAAAATTGTACAACATATTAATCCAAATATTCACATGTTTTACATATATACATAAAACTGAATACAGAACAAATGATTATAAAAATTACTATTAAAAATTACTAAATATATTTAGGTATTTCCTATGAAGTAAAAATAAATTTTATTCATTTTAAATGAATATATTTCACACAGAATTGCTAAAACATCATCATGTACCCTCTGAGCGTTACGACCAGCTTTATCCGGTCATCAGAAGTTCTGCTACTTGACATATATTGGCTTATAATTTAAGATATTTTCTTTATTTTCTTTAATAATGTAAATAACATCTTAATGAATGCAAGTTTATGAAAATATGGACTAAAATAAGTAATTACACAAATTCAATTAATAAATACTGTTTAAATACCGGTTTTCATGATGGATCTAAAATCCTGTGCCGCTCAGAGGGTTAAATTAGCATTAAATGGAATCTTTCTTAAATACAAGAACAGAATCCCACTGAAGGGGGCAACCTAACAGAATAGAATAAAATAACAAAAGTAAGATAAATGAAAAATATAGCTAACCTTCTCAGTATCAATTCTAAAATCAACAAGATCAGGATAAAACCAGTACATGATGCCTTTAACAGTATCATAACTCTGAAATAAGATAAAAAGGAGACCCAGCAGATATATTACACTCAAACCTGGGGAAAAAAAAGTCTACATTAGTAAAATAAATTGTCGTTATTTTTCTAATAAACAATGAAAATGTTTTTAATTACATCCATAAAAGGCATCAGCACAAAATCAGCAGATGAAATTTTTAAAATATATATATGATAGTAGTTCATTATAATAAAATCAGATTAAATATTACTTTAAAGATAAGCACTAAGTAATTTGTGGATTATTAAATTTCCATGTTTAAACAAATGACTAAGAAAAGAATGCTAATTTTATCAACTCACAGCAGGAAAATATTTCAGATTATTTCAATTACAATAACTTAATCACAAATACCTTCCAATTAAAAAATTTAATACAGAAATGAATTTGTAGTGTATAATAAGATTACAGAACAGTAAGTAACCCTGAAAAACTTTCATTCTACTGAAACTGAAAAATTATATTAACAAAAATTCATATTTATATTTCCAAAAATGAAAATTTTATAATGAACAAATATATAATTAAGTAAAATAATTAAAAAATATTCTACCAAAAACTAATCTCCATATTGCAGGATGGGGTCTGATGAATGGTCCTGAAAAGATATCAGAATCAGCAACTTGCATTTCCAGGAAAATATAAGAAAGCAAATAAAGTACTAATTGCTTGATCAGTCAGCAGTAAGCAAAAATTATATGTATATGATTAAAAGTGTTAAATTATCCCAAAACAGGTAATTTTGTGAATTTATAAATTGAAAATAAAAACAGAAATTATTGTAGAAACCAATAAAATACATAAATTTAGTGGATATAAGAAAAATAATCAATTGCCTTTGGCTGAAATTGACATCTGAATGAATACTTAAAATTTTAAATCTAAATTAAAATATACAAGAAAATTAAAAATTGATATGGTAGTTAGATATTATTTATCTAAAGAAAGTGAAATTTTCTGAAGGAATGAACATTGCTCATATTCACACCAGGCAGAGGAAAAGGGAAATTCAAAACATTACTTTAATTTCAGAGGATAAGTTTATACCGGTAAGAAAAACAGCTCATATAGATCAAGAACACAGAAATAGCTTGAAATTCTTCTTAATGCAAAGCACTTATCATACACTATAAAACTGCTTGCACAAAAAAAAATTTAAATCATTGAGAAATGTATTGTACCTAACAGCATATTACTCTAAACCAGCATTCAATTTTTAATTGACTAAACAGCACTTCTAAGCCTTCTATTTATACCTTTACCAAGGAGGAAGGCAGATGACTGGACCTTTCAAGAAAAAACTGTTTCTAAGGTCTTGAAAATACTACTTCTGAAAACTTCCAAAATGTCATCAAGTTTCCAATAAATTACCACATGTCAACTCTGGCAACAAATTTTGATACCAGAGTTGGCAGATACAAGATTTCCAGCTTAGAATTTAAGGAAGTGTTTAGTCTTAATATGAAATGGAACTTTTTGAATAGAATTTGGGTATTTACACATGCTTAATGACATTCAAAAATGACTCTTTTCTTCACTTTTTTGTTTATGCTGTGTTTCATGATTTAGATTTTGATCGTATGTATAATAAAAAAGTGTTATTTTGCTAATTTTACAGTAGTAGTTTTGGATTTTAGACAATGACAGTGAAACCCTATGAATGTACGAAAAATCAAAGTAAGAAATTTATATTCAGTTTTATTGCTTTGAACTGTATTTTGTTTCAGTTGTGAGTATGCATAAATATGGTGGTACACAAAGAATTTCATGCAACAGTTGTCAATCAATAAAATTTAAAATGCAAAAAGTCAGTACCGAAACAATCCCGTTCCGAGAAATCTTTGTTTTACACTGTTATTTCTCCCCATGTACACAATGATATATTTTTGATTTTAATAATATCAACGAATTGTTCAAACTCAGCATTGTGCAATTGCTGGAACAAAAATGTGCTATGAGCATACCTGAATATCTTTTTCACACCGTTGTTCTTCCCAGGTACACAGCAATGTATTTTTAGCTTCATAAAAATCACAGAATTAATCAAAACTTGGCATAGTACAAATTCTGTATCAAAACTTGCTAAAATAAATGTGCCGATTTGCCACAAATACTTTTTTTTAAAATACCACATGGATTGCAAAAACTCTGGCAACATCTGCTTTGCCAAGTCAATACCGATTTTCCGATGGGAATGCAAATAATCAGAAAGTACCAAATTACGTAGATAAATAAAATACAAAATTACAAACAAATAAACACTAACATTTACATGAATTGAAAGGAAGAGTTTTTTTTTTTTATTTAAAATACTGATTTAAATAACGTTTTACAAAAATATAGGCTTTTAAAATTAGTTATTTCTAGATAATGTAATTTATAAAATTTACTCCATGTACACAATGATATATTTTTGATTTTAATAATATCAACGAATTGTTCAAACTCAGCATTGTGCAATTGCTGGAACAAAAATGTGCTATGAGCATACCTGAATATCTTTTTCACACCGTTGTTCTTCCCAGGTACACAGCAATGTATTTTTAGCTTCATAAAAATCACAGAATTAATCACACAAACTTGGCATAGTACAAATTCTGTATCACAAACTTGCTAAAATAGATATGTGCCGAGTTGCCACATAAGTACTTTTTTTTAAAATACCACATGGATTGCACATAACTACTCTGGCAACATACTGCTTTGCCAAGTCAATACTTCACGATTTTCCGATGGGAATGCAAATAATCAGAAAGTACCAAATTACGAATAGATAAATAAAAATACAAAATTACAAACAAATAAAACACTAACATTTACATGAATTGCAAAAGGAAGAGTTTTTTTTTTATTTATTTAAATACTGATTATAAATAACGCAATCTCTAATAACACAAAAATATAGGCAAAATTTTAAAATTAAGTAAATTTTACTATATCTAGATAATGTAATTTTAAAATAAAATTACTCTGATACACGAAAAGTGACACTACACTTACCATTAGGAAATGCTAATACACTAATTATCAAGAAGAAGAAACACACACATCGCACACCATCCCATAGATTGTTCTGTATATTATCATCATTTCTGAAAGAAAAAAATATACAGCTTTCTAAATCAGTGATGCTCATTCTTTTCAAAGCTGATGCCCCCCGCCCCTCCAAAGAACAAAAAAATTTTCAAGGCTTTTTCATTTCTCTTCTGAAATTCCTGCAATTTAGGTATGGGGAAAGGGAGGTTCCTGAATTATAAAAAGCAAAATTTCTAAGTAAATTTTTTTCAATAGACCTTGCACATCAAAGTTGTTTGATTTAACGATAGTTTTGCCTTAACAATCCTTTCGTTAAAATTGAAATGACCAATCTCAGAAAAAATTGAAAAAAAAAAAAAAAAAACAGACTAAGAGAGTCAATATATTTATATGAATGAAGCAATCAAGTATGATCAGTGGGATGTGCTTAACATGTTGACTGTCATGGCACTTCTCGGATTCCGGTCCGAGAAGTCAAATTGATTTAATCATATTATTAAAAATACTAATAATGATTTGTAACAATCATTAAAAAGTTTACACGATTTTTTTTTTTTTTTTTTTTTTTTGTCGAAAAAAGGGTTTTACAAATTATCTCGTAGTCTGCTTTTCTTAGACAAAGCTTTTCGCAGAAGCCCACTACGAGTGTTGATTCGTACAGACATACTTTGACTTGTTGCCTCAGTACATCTAAAACAAGCATTAAGCGAGTAACTCGCAAAGACACAAAAGTGGCAAATCAAGAAACTATGAGATGACTCGTATTGGATGTCCTGAAGAAGAGCGATAATACAAGTTATCTTGTGCTGGAATTTCCATATGTTATGTTAATGCTTCAGAGCGAAATTCTGAACATTAAGTTCAATATTTTTAGAGAGATGAAGGTGCAAGTCCTTTCTTTCCACAATTTGAAGTCAACTTTTTTTTTTTTTTTTTTTTTTTAATTAGATCAGACACAGCACTGATTCCTCAATCAACAAGGTAGGAGGAAGGGCGGCCTCTTGTATAGAGGTGACTAATGTTATCTTGAAGCCAAAATTCTGTGAGACTATCACCATTCTGGAAGCTGGGTTTCAAAGTTTCATTAGTTGAAAATTCGACCAGTTCCTCCTGAAGCTGAACCTTTGCTGTCTCTATTCATAAAAGGGTTCGTTACCCCCTGAGGAACTTCCAGGAATATCCTCAATCCTCTCAGAAAAGTTCTTGTGCAAAGACTAAAGGGGTTGACAGTAAACATATTTCATTGCTCTTATGCAGATCAGCGAAGATTGGAAACTGGCTTCCACAAAGTGAGTTTTTTTAAGAAGGCAGAAATAACAGATTTTGCTGTGATCAAATTCAGCTCCTTGCCTTGAAGCTACAAATTATTTCCAATGAATTCTGTGAAAAATTAGTCATGTAAGCAAAATCAATCTTAAATTATAGCACTTTGTCTTTCAGAGCTGCAATTTTCTCTTCAGGGAGCTCAAGTACAGAGTTAAGATTCCAGAACCTATTGAGGCAGGCGTCTTTGGAAAGCCAGCGAACCTCAGTGTGTAGAAGCAAGCAATTGAATTCTTCAACATTGTGAACTATGAACTTCATCAAACCATAAATAGCTTTGATAGTTATAAGTAGGATATTTTGGCACTGAAGAATCAGTCTTTTGACAATCTAAGTTCTATACGCACAAGAGATGAGTTTCGTAAAGAACAGTTTTTCTACCGATTTGTATGTATTTGTTTTTGTTCCTGGAAATTTGAAGTGGCGATATAACTCTGATATACGCTCTAATTTCACCAAATGTGGCGATATGTGTTCTGTGCTGGTTTTTGGCACGATTGTGTGTTGTATGGCAATTGAAGTTTGGCAAAAGAAAATATCATTGTGGCCATCCTGTTGAGGGGCAGTGGGTATTTGGAGGAGTGAAAAGAGAGTCTGGGAGATTATTTTTAGTGGCTGTGCATGATATAAGTAGGGATTTGTGATTTTACTTATTTGTGAACCACAGTATGAATTTTCTGGATAGTGTGTCTGGCTGTCATATAAATACGATAGTGATTACGTGGCGGCATGTTAAAGGCGGTATGAAATTTGTATTCCTGCTATTCGAAAAAGCATTAATTCATGGTAAGTGCATTTTATTTTACTCTTGTTCTTATTTTGTAGAATGTCCATTGTTTTTTTAGTATGAATTTCTGTCGTTATTGTTTTTTTTAATTGTTTAAAATTTATTTTAGTTTATTTTGTTGATTAGTGCATAGTGTCTAGAATGTGCAATTCGTAGATGTTTTTTAAAGTTGAAACAGAATGCTGTGTACATGTATTCTTTGAAATTTATTGTTGTTATGTTAATTTATTAAAGCGAGGTGCGAGTAGTTCGTAGATTCGTTCGTTGCCTAAATTGTGCAATTTGTAGATTTTTTTTTTTAAAGTTTAAACAGAATGCTTTAATTTTTTATGCTATATCTTAATTACAAGAGTTGAAAGCTAAGCAGTGCAACGCGGGGCAGCATGTTCGCGCCTGCGCACCTGTAATGTAATCTGCGCATCTGTAATGATAAGCAGACGAGTTTGAGAATCGCCATCGACGGTGTAAGAGGGCTGGTCACAGCTACGAGTTAATAATGAGGGATTGTAACTAATTAAGAGAATTAATAAAGTAAGAGCCAGCGAATTTATTAGTGTGTTATTTGGGATGAGACCCAAACATATCTGTACATGGTATTCATTGAAATTTATTGTTGTTATGTTAATTTATTAAAGACAGATGTGTGTAGTTTGCAGATTTGTTTGTTGCCTAGATTGTGCCATTTGTAGATGTTTTTTTAAATTAAAACATATCGCTGTGTACATGGATTCTTGTCAAATATTTTTGGTTAGAAACTTTACGTTTTTGCTATCTAAATTTTTGTTTTTATTTTGGATTTTTAGCTTAAATTGTGTGTTCAAAACGTGGTTTTTGGAGACATTTTAGGCTTAAAGTTTGAAATGTAGACAAAAAATTTAGATAGTAATATGGCAGCGTGGAGTTTCTCGCCAAAAATGTTTGGCAAGAAATTTGGCGACTTGAGCGCGCATATCAGAGTAGTTCCAAATCGGCTTAGCTTATTAATAAAAGTGAATTTAATAAATGATAAGCACTATACAACAGTGAAATTTGAAAAACGGTGTATGAATTCATCATGATAATGCATTCCACCTACAATAATTGCAAATTTTTAGCAAGCCTAGATTATCAGTGCCAAGGATAATTCTGATGATGTGGGTTTAATTCTACAAGATACTGGGGTTAGAGAGAAGGGTACCTCTTGTATTATCAAGTTGCTGTTTTAATAAAAAGTGACCAACTCCTTTTGTACTGGCAAAATAGAATTTATTGTTAGTGTTGACAAAATGTTACTTATAAGCAAATCAGCAAGGAATCTACACAGAAATAACAATTCACCTACATTAATCAGAAGATAAAAGTACCTAAATGATATAATTAAATCAATCTTATTTAATTCAATTTATTTGTGTTTAAATAAATCTGCAGTTCCATATTTTGGAAAAAGAAAATACAGGGTAAGTCAAAATGAATATAGCGGTTACAAATGGCTATAACTATTTAATAAAAAAGAATTTATCGAGAAGAGTAAAATAAAAAAGAATTTATCGATAAGAGTAACACAGAATGTAGACGTAACTACAAAATTTCTTTACGTAAGGCGCAGGTGCAGTGAAACAGAAGCCTACGCAAGTTGAAACTTCGCAATGACAAGAAACCTGTTCATTGCGGGCGTCTCATAAGTAACGGAGAGTCAAATGCAGAGAGCATTCTGCGTGTTAGAATTTGAAAAATGTCATTCTATTATAATAGTGCAGAGAAGATTTCGTCAGCATAACAAACAAGAACCTCCAAATGAGAACAACATACGCAGATGGCATCATATGTTTAAAGAAACAGGGGCTAGCTAATCTTTGGAATATGGTAACAGGTAGTTTGGCGATATTTTGGTAAGGCGATAAAGGTTACTTACTAGCTAGGACTTTAGCAGTGTACCATGGATAAAGTCAAGAGTGCGCACAATGGCATTTTTGTGCAATTCTGGGATGTTTTTTTAAGTGAAAATAGGTCGAAGTGTACATGGATGATACCGTGAATGTGCAATTCTTAAAAACGTGGCAAGCAGTGGGCGATTCTGCACTTTCTCCTAATCTTTGTCATGATTAAGTACATTTGTTCCATAAAAGTTCTAGCATAAGCATAATTCGGCTAGCAGATTGTTGGGAAAAAATGTTGAGTAAAAAAAAAAAAAAAAAAAAAAAAAAAAAAAAAAAATGCCTTTACTTCGTGAAAACAAAATGGCATCCAAAAAAAAAACTAGCAGGTTGCTGTAGCAGGGTTAGTTGCCAACTTTTCGCCAAAAAATCACCAAGTTACCATAATCCGAAGATTAACCGAAACAGGATGTCTGTGCAAAGTAGTGGAAGGCTAAGTGTTTCAGCAGATAACAAAGAAAGAATTTGCTGCACGTATGAATGAAGCCCATGGAAATCAATGTACAAAGGCAGTAGTTACAAATGCCACAAAAAATGATATGGCGTGTTTTCAGAAACAGGCTGCAAACGAAACTGTACATCATTCTACTTGTGCAGCAATTGAAACAGAAAGACTATGGCAAACTTATGAATTACACTACGTTTATGCTGGAAAGCATGGAGGATGAAACAATGGGCCAATTGTCTGATTTTTAGCAATGAATCAACCTTTCACATAAGTGGAAGGTTAACCGGTATAACAGTCGAATATGGAGTATGGAGAAGCTTTCCACTGTAATTGAACATGAACATGACTCAGCAAAAGTTAATGTGTTCTGCCCGATCTCATCACGTAAATTGTGTGGTCCTTTTATTTTCAATGTGCGACATCAAATATTTAGCTAGGCATGCTGGACATATGGTTAATGCCACAGCTAGAGACTCTGATTCCACGGATTACATCTTTCAGCACAGATGGAATACCCCCACACTGGAGTACGGAGGGTCGCACATTTTTAAATCAACATCTTCCAAAGCGTTGGATCGAAGTGGAGCTGCCAACGATGTCTTCTACTCTTGGCCACCGAGATCTCCATACTCGACACCTTGCAATTTTTTTTTTTTCTATGGGGTTATGTGAAAGATAGGGTGTTTGTGCCTCCTATGACCAAAACAAATGAAGAACTCAAAGTACGCATTTATAATGCACTTGAATGAACAAATGCTTCAGAATGCATGGTGACAGAAATGGACTGCCACCTAGATGTTGTCCGTGTGACCAAGGGAAGTCACATAAAACATCTATGACATATGTATACAACATTTTAAAGTTCCCTCTACATTATGTGTTAACCTTAAAGATAAATTCGTTTTCAATATAGTTTTAACCACTTGTAATCGCTATATTCATTTTAAGTTACCTGGTATTTTATTCATGAATAATAACCAATTGTAAAAAAGGAAATAAAGTTTATAGTACTTTTTTTCCTAAATAATATAGCTAAAAATATGAAATATACCTGGATGTAAAGATGAAGTATTTATTTCCAGTTTATATGAACAATATGTTTACATTTTCAAACAAAATACAGCTATGAATAAGCAGCATATTTATAAAAATGATCATTCAGATAGACTGACTTAGACTCTTTTACAGAAATAAGATTTGAAAATGAACCAAAATTTTGATGTTAAAGAATAAGATAAATTAGCCTTAAACATTGCTCTTATCTAAATAGCTGAATGCTGTCAACAGGCAACTATTTAGCAATAGTTTGATAAGACAACATGTTTTTTGTATTAAGTTTCTGATATTAGAACTCGTTTTAAGCAAATGATACAAAAATCATCACATCAACAAAGAACTGAAAGATTAGGATTCCTTCAATTTCTGGAAAGATGTTATCATCTTGTTTAAATGCAGAATTTAATGAGAATTATCATATTATTCATAACTCATTTAAAACTTTTATATAAACAAATTTTATGGAAACTACAAAATGTGTGCTTTGATACCTGACTTTAAAGCATGACCAGATTAAATTATTACTATAGAAATATGACTAAATGCACAAATATTTGTTTTTATCATACAGAATAAAGCAATCTTTATTTTAATATACTTTATGGGATCAAAAATTTTCTGCATATGCAGTGTTAAATTAAAGTTTACTTGAAGCTCTATTCTAAAATCAATTCTTCCACCCAGTAACAGTTAACTAGATTAAAACAGTGTGAAAAAAATAGTATTTATGTTTTAAGCTGACTATATTATTACAATGTCATAATATAATATTTATATTTTAATTTCAAACTGAATTCAACAAAAATGAACATGACCAATTAAGTTCTAATCAGAAAAAGAAGAAAAGTCAGCAATCCAAACAGATGTAATGTATGTAATATCAGAGTTTTGTATCTGGCAGTACTCAACATATATTTTCATCCTTATCCTAATTAACTTCCTGCGAAGTATTTTATTAGCAAATTGTTACCCATAAAGCAATATGAAAATAATTATCAACAATTTCAGAATATCTACAGCAATATTTTTTCCTATATGGAATCAAAAGCTCATTAGAAATTTCTACACAATACTTTATCATCAATTTCTGATGTACCATTAAAAAAAGAGCATTACTGTGTGACTGCACATTTCCATAAGTTAGATGATGTAAAAGTTACTTATATTTCGTTAGTTTCACATTGGGAGAAAACCCTGTGGAGTTTCATATTATAGGCTTCGTTCCCCTTTAAATGTAAGTCAAGTGGTCAATCGATTATCGCAAATGTTCCTGAATTCTGATTAATTTCAGCAACAAAAGTAAAATCTGCATTTTCATAAAAGTGCCGATAATTACACACCATATCTTATAACTCTAAAAGTACATTACTTCACGATATACTTCAAGCTTTAATTACTCACATATGTTAAATAATTTCAAAGAACAATTAAATAGTTCAAGGTCTGCAATCATTGATATTTCCAAGGCGATAGAACGCTCGAACAAACATATCAACACTGGAAGTCCTACTTACCGAGTGAAGACTGAATACAGCACGGCTCCCACAGCTACTGTTAAAAGAGTTATTGTATGAGGTTTATAAAAAAATTCTAGTGATATATCATCAACTGGACGTTCATTTACATAACAGAAATTGTCATAAACACTGGAAGTATCATTCCCTACTCTTACACTCTTCGCCATGCCTTCTGCTTCTTCTGAAACGGGGCGATTGCGGTTAAAGTTCTTGCGCAATATTTCTCAGAGAGGATTACAGTGCCCACCAACCAACAAATCTGGAAAAAGTTCTAAATTTTTATTCGATTTCATTCCATTCACTTTTACAGCGTTTTATAATATTACTGTTTTATTATCACGAACAAAATCAGTGTGAAATTATTAAATTAACTCAAGCTTATTGATGAAAGTGTATACTATGATATCGCTTTAAATTTATCTTTTGAAGAATGGTAAAAAAATATTATTTATATCTTGTTTCTTGGAATATTCTAGGTCTAGGGCTTAATTTCTGAAATAATTGCTATCAAGATTCAAATTAGATTGAATGAGTTATCAACAATTTTACCTTGCTACCTCAAACAGTGTTGCGTTGAATCTACCTGAATATTATTTCATTCAGTCGTTCTCGCCTTTAAATTAAATCTGACTCCATTCTATAACAGTTGAAAAGAAATATTTTAATTAAACAATTACATTTTCTTGCTTAAAAAAAGCCAAACTTTATTTTACAAAACCATGTTGCGTCCAATTCTTAGTTATGCATGTCTCGTCTGGGCATACTCGTGCAAAAGTTTGAGAAGGCAGTTACAAGCTGCCCAAAACGGGGTATTGCGTATAATATGCAATGCCCCCTGGTACATTCGAAATAGCCTAATTCGTAAAGAGTTAAGAATAGAGGATCTTTGTGATTTTTTTTGCCGCCTATCTAGGGAATTATGATAAACAGGAACTTCTGGACAATCCTGTAGTTGTTAACTCTTGTTATGATACTAGGGACCCCAATTTCAGTAAACGCCGAAGGGCGATCCTAAATGTTAGTATTAAGTAATTTTGTATTTGTGTTATGCAAATTGTTGCTCAGATTCTTTATTGTATATTGTTCTTTTTTCCTCCTGATTGCATTTTGTTTTTACTAGTGGCACTAAGGCGTCGCACTTCGTATTTTGTTTCTCTTGTGTGTACATGTATTCTTCTGTGAAATAGTTGTTAAAAAAATAGTTAATTATGTATGGATTAGTAATTAGGTACTTAAGGAAAAAATATGTATTCAATTATGAATTTAAACTCTTACTCATTTAATTATTTAGCACATTCAGTTATATTTCTCATAATTCGAAACTTTTATCATGTTATTCGATGAGGGGTAGGGCTATAGCGCCCAGGCACTCTGGTGGTTAAGCACCGCAGTTCAATGTTCAACACTGAAGAAAATCAAAACATCTAATCTTTCTTACTGTTGCCAAACTTCAAAAACAAAATCTGTCTAAAAAGGAACACAACGGCTGTTGAATATTGTTAAAAAATATAAATCATAGAGCTCCCAACAACCAGTTTTCGTATGCGGGCGCGATGCTAATGCACCACCAACTTAATTTTAATAACAAGTGATCAGCCTTTGGCTATAATTGAACTACAGAAAAAAAATCATTAGACGTTGGTACCAGATGAAAGTGACGATTCTAATTCTATTCTAAGGATTGAGTTCTGGATACTAAATCAAGATGCGAGCAGCATTTCATATTTTCCTTTTAGCCAACTTTCATTTTTTGGAAGCCATTTGGTTTACTCCTAGAATATTGTAAACACAGGATTTGGGGACATTATGAAGAGCAGTAAACGCCACATTTACGATGAGCAGAAAAAGCCATCTTGGTTACGAAATGGAATTGTATTATTTTTGGGTCATTTCTCTATATTTTGGCGCCCGAACAGGGGATTTTTATGTAAAAGTAAGTCTTAATTTGAGCTGCGGTGTTAATTTCGTGCAAGGAAGTCATGTGAATTGTTTTAACTGTACTTGATATTTTATGTTTTTCTATATCTTTCAATTTTTACATGAAAATATTTTGAATTTTTAATGTATTTTTTGCCTGAAGTGAGAAATGAATTAATTAGTAGCGCATGCGCATTAGGTTAGCGACGCTGAATCGTCTGTGAAAAACTGTTTCTTTTTTATTTGTTTTATTTCTTTTATAACATTGGATGAGATTATTAGAAAATGGGTTCGAGATGTGTAATAATTCTAATAGCTTTGGTTATAATGTATCAGTGGCTATGTAGAGATATGGCTATTCTTAGAATGGATTCCATCAAATTCTAAAGAAAAGGCGGAAGTAGTAGTTCATTCATGAATGATGTCCTTTTAAATGAACAAAGAGAAATAATTGATATGTTACGTAAGGCGTTACGTTCGAACAATGGCTAGCTCAGAAGGGATTCGTAAGTCATCTACCCGATGAATTAACAGCTATCTTGTCATAAATGGAGTACTTCATTTAAACTTAAGCAAAAAGATTTATTTACACATAAAGACAAGTTAAAAGAATAAAAAAATATTTATCTAGCTACAATATCTATCTAAAACATCATGCAAACATCGTTCTTAGCTAACTAAACCGGAACTCTCGTTCGTTTTCTCTGGCGTCCCATGACGTCAGTCTCTATCTGGCTTTTTATTCGCTGGCGTAGTGATGCCATTCCCAACATCCTCCCCCCTTTGAGTTGCTGGATAGCTACTCAAAACATTCAAGTCTATCAAGTTCAGTCTAAGTGGCATCTTAACAGTTCTACCAGCTCGTGTCTTTATAGTCTTAGAACTGTCACATACATCGGAAACATCAGTGGGGTCCGGAGATCGGGGTGACCCAGAAATTTCTGAATGATGAGAGGTAGAGGTACTCATGTCGTCTCCACGATGAGAATCTGAAGACTTTACAGCAGATTGATGTTTTTGAGGATCACTTGGATGACATGAACCTGACAAATCATCATCTTGGATTTCTAGGGGAAACACTCGTTGTATCGGACGTACTAAATTGTTAGTTTGCGTTCTTAATCTAACTGTTCTCACTTTACCGTCCTTTCCTGGAATCAGTTCCGTAACCCTGGCTAAAGGCCAATTCAATCTCTTTTTGATATCATCTCCTATCAACACAACGTCATTCACTCGAATATTTGGAAAGTGTGAATTTTGCTGTCGTTTCTGAATAAGTAGTCCTAAATATTCCTTTCGAAAACGTACTCGGAGATCTTCCATTAATTTTGCACGAAATCTGATTCTTTTCCTGAGATGATTGGTGTCTACTGTATCTATATCAGTTACATCTAAATTGGATCTATCGGTCAAAAAACATGGCAGGTGTAAGTGGAACTAAGTCTTCTGTATCTTCGGATAAAATATGTCAAGGGGTCGCGAATTTACTACCCTTTCACATTCGCACATAACTGTTTCCAGTTCTTCATAGGTAAGAACAGCTCTGCCCAATGTTCTCCTAAGGAGTTCTTTGACTACTCGAACAAGTCTTTCCCACCATCCGCCCCACCAGCAGTGGGGGGGAATGAATTTCCATTCGATCTTCTGTATTTCTGTTTGTCGAGTTATTTTACTCCAATCAATTTCTAACAAATTATTATAAGCTCCCCTAAAGTTTGTACCGTTGTCTGTATAAACCACTCTAGGTCTTCCTCTTCTAGCAACAAAACGTCTAAATGATAACAGAAAAGCATCAGTGGAAAGCGATGTTATTAACTCTAAATGAATTGCTCTATAAAGAGCACACGTGTAGAGAACCATCCATACTTTGTCCCCACGTTTTACAAATAGGGGACCTGCCAAGTCAATACCAACTACTTCGAAAGCTGCTGCATTTTCCACTCTATCAGCAGGTAAGGAAACTGGTTCAGTGACGAGAGATTTAGTTTTGTATCGTCGACATTTAATACAGTCCTTCAAAACACTATGTATCGCTCTTCTTCCTCTTGTAATCCAGTACTTTTCACGCAATATGCTTAGTAATATCTGGGTTCCAGCATGACAGTTTTCTCGGTGAAAATATTCAATCAGTCTTTGAGTAAAGATACATTTATCAGGAAGAAGAATAGGTGAAATGAAGAAGAAAGGCTTATCTATGCGTTCAGTAATTCGAGTTTTAACTCTGATAATTCCGTTCACATCTTTGAAAACACACAAGTTCCGAAAAGAGGTTTCATTAGGAAAAAATTGAGCTTGCACATTACGAATAAGCAGAATTTCAGCATTTTCAATCTCCTGCGTTAGAAGTTCTCCCCCCCGTCTAGTATCATGGCGCGATCTTACATTACTGATAAATCTCAATATCCATGCAACCATTCTAACTATTGAATGGAAATTTGAGAATTTAATGGCATACCACGGGACTCTCTCTTCCAACAAATTAATATTACATAACCTAACCTTTCTCCTTTCAAGTGTTATTTCGGGTGTTTCCGTTATCAATATTTCGGTGTCAGGCCAGTTGTCTCTTGCTTGCAACAACCATGCCGGGCCTTTCCACCAGCAGGATTCTAACAATTTCTTAGGGGAACACCCTCGCGAAATCAGATCAGCGGGATTCATTTTCCCTGGCACATGTCGCCATTCATTATTAGGAAACAAATTATTTATTTCTTTTACTCTGTTCGAGACAAAAACTGTCCAATCACCACGTTCTTTTAACCAGTATAAAGCTACCCTAGAGTCGCTCCAAAATATTGTTTTAATCTCATGGGCATTAAAAGCCTGCTTCACTGAATATGCCAACCTGGCACCAATGCAGCAAGCCATTAACTCTAACCTAGGGATCGTTACTTTCTTCAAAGGTGGAAAACTCTGGTTTTTGCTCTAACAAAGTAAATTTTTACCCCTTGAGAGGTTCTCGTTCTAAAAAAAATACAGGTGGCATATGCCTCTTTGCACGCATCTACGAAAACATGCATCTCAGTGGAATCATTTATTTCAACATAACGTGAGATTTCGATATCTCTTAATGCATCTATTTCTCTAAACCATCTTTTAAAAGACATTTGAATACTATCTGGTAAGGGAGTATCCCACTTTAGATTTAAATTCCACGTTTCCTGCAGTAAAAGCTTAGGTGGTAAGATTGCAGGACTCAACAGACCTATTGGATCAAATATTTTGTGAACTGTAGCTAAAATGATTCTCTTAGTAAAATTCTGATCTTCACTTACAAGATTAAAGTTTAAATTACACTTAAGAGTGTCCTTATCAAGATCCCACAAAATTCCCAATACTTTCGTGACACCAGTACTATTAGAAACATACTTACATTTTACATTACTCTCCCAGTTTCTTAAGTTAAAGCAACCCCGTGACAAAATATCTTTTGCATTTACAATAAAATCTTCCTGCTCCTCAATATTTGCAACACCAGAAACACAATTATCTACGTAAAAAAGAATGTTTCAGTTTTTGTGCTATAGCATCAAATTCAGATGGTACATTATCTAATAAATGTGTAATTGAGGCTGCTAATAAAAATGGACTCGACTTTAACCCAAATACTACTCTGCGATGTCGGTAAACAATCTGTTCACTCTCGGACGGATAAAAAAAACCGCAAGAAATCTCTATGTTGAGGGGCTATACTTAGCATCAGAAATGCTTTCTCAATATCTGAAGATAATCCTATTGGATGAATGAATTCGAAACCTATCAAGTATCTGTCTGGAATTATTTCTAGTAAGTTCGGACCCTTATACAAAAGGTCATTCAAAGAGCATTTACCACTTTCTCTCGGGCTGACGCGTCAAAGACAGGTCTGATTTTTGTAGTGGTACTGTCCTTAATTACTGGCCGATGAGGTAAAAAAAATGTCCCGTCTCAATATTATCAGTTACCTTTTCAATTATATTCAATTTTTCCCATTCCCGGAAAATCGTAGTATATTCTTCTAAAAATGCTTTATCTTGTGCTCGCTGGCACATCCTTTTATGCCGCTTCCAAGTTAAATCTTTATTTGTCGGCAAATCGGCCACATCAGATTTAAAAGGTAAACAAAGTTCATATCTACCGTCTGAAAGAATTTTCACATTATTTTTAAACTCTTCCAAAACTCTAGAATGTTCTAAATTCTTTCTATTATTTTCAATGGGATCTGAAATACCTATGGATTCTAAAGACCACAAATCTTTTATCGAATAATTACTAACATACAACGAAATTGCATTCAAAACAGTATCATCATTGCTATCTCCAAATGACTCATGCTTCCCAGTTAACACATGTCCCAACAAACAAGTGTCAATCAAAAATAACCCTGACTCCAACCGAACAGATTTATTAGTAAATAAACCGCCCACAATATCTGCTCCCAAAAGCAGACCGATCTCACGATCAGAAGAACCCAAATCAGACAAACTGACGCCTCTATCTTTCAGTTCATTAAGAATTTCACTAGCATTCACTTTTGGCACTGTGCCACAAATTTTGCTCTCGGAAAGTGCTTCGATTTGAAAGGAGAAAGTTTCATCTAATGCCGAAATCAACAAATTATAAACATCGTGAATCTGCGTTCGCGTTTCTCTTCCACCGAATAACGAATGCTTCAATTTAATTTGCCTTAATGGTTTTTTTAAATTTAAATTCTCTACTAATTTTTTACTGACATACGAATGCTGAGAACCTGTATCCAGTAATGTGCGTACTTTAAGCTCAACATTCTTAAATTAAATTTTAACTATTAGAGTCATCATTAAATAAACATTTTCTATTTTACAGTTATTAGTTAATGTACTGGTTTCAGTTACGTCCCTTTTAGACTTTTCATTTGCGCCTTTTTCTTGGCGATTGGGACACATTAAAGAATGGTGATTTTTATTACAGTACATGCAAGAATTTTTTACTCGACATGTTTTAAAAAAAGTGTGTCCAAATCTGAAACATCCAAAACAGGCCCCTTTTTTAATTAATATATTTTTCTTAGCTTCTAATGTCATATTTCTAGCAGAAAAAAACATTCTTTAGTTGGGTGCCGTTTTTCACAAAAGAGACAGTTAAAATTGCGCTTACCTGGGCTCTCAGAATTTGATGTACTTACTAACGCAGCTGCGGTGGCGGAAATCTAAATTTTTATTTAGTGTATCCTTTTTCTTAGAAATATGATTAGAACCAAACCCAGTGCGGGCTAACACGACCATCTCTTCTCCTTTCACTTTTCTTGTTTCAGAAAATTCATCAAATTTTCAAGGCATCGGTCATCAGGCTGAGGTGCTTCTTTTAAATTTCTGTTTCTCTCCCAAGCAATTAATACTTCTTCGGGCAGGCAGGATTCAACTAAAGGCGTTAAGAAATCACCATACTTCTCTTGCGTTCTTCCAAGACTTTCTAAAGCTCTAATCTTGGTTTCTAAATCATCGTAGAGAGTGGGAAGATCCGTCTTCACACGTCCACTGCTTGCATTACGCATAACCATGCTTAGAAGATCTCTGACGTATATCTGTACAAAGTAAGTCTTCTCTTCCAAACCTCTCTCGAAGCTGGGCGATTGCTTTCGGATAATTCGACGCCGTTGCCGGAAAGCTCTCCACTACCCGTGCGGCTTTGGACTGAGGAACAACTGCTTGCAGGAGGTACTGGAATTTATCTTCATCTGGAATCGTCGGATCTTCATGGATCTTCGAAAACTGGCTCCAAAACGTCAAAAATTCTTTTGCTTCGCCGTTGAATTTCTTTAGTTCGATCTTCGGCAGTTTAAATTTGCGCTTCTCTGGTAATTCAGTAGGTAAAGGATTCTTCAACAGCTTTTCGATTTGAGAACACAGTTCAAAATATTTATCTCTATAAGGCTCAGACGAAATAAAATCTTCTTCATATAGCTTTTCAGTTTCTTTAGATTGTAGAATTAGAGACGTTACTTCCTTTTGGCAAATTTCAAGTCGATTAAACTTGTCTCTAAGCTGTTGTTCCAGAATCGAAAGTAGCTTCAAATCAGGAATATCTGATTTCAGTTCTGCATCAGTTTTGTTTGCACATGTGGTAAAGGAAGTTCTTAGACATTTTCTTTCGGTTTTAAGCTGTGTAAGCTCCATTTTCAATTTATTTTAGCAGTTATCGCGCCCCACGTCTTGGCGCCACAATGACATGTTACGTAAGGCGTTACGTTCGAATATTGGCTAGCTCAGAAGGGATTCGTAAGTCATCTACCCGATGAATTAACAGCTATCTTGTCATAAATGGAGTACTTCATTTAAACTTAAGCAAAAAGATTTATTTACACATAAAGACAAGTTAAAAGAATAAAAAATATTTATCTATTAGTTACAATATCTAACAACATCATGCAAACATCGTTCTTAGCTAACTAAACCGGAACTCTTCGTTTTTCTCTGGCGTCCCATGACGTCAGTCTCTATCTGGCTTGTTATTCGCTGGCGTAGTGATGCCATTCCCAACAATAATTATTTTTTATCTACATAGTATTTATTTTTTGTTTCTCAGTGAAATTTTTCTCTGCGGCCCAGCAGAGTTTGAGTCGGCTCGCTGGATCGGGAAGTATCCTTTGGAAGAAGGTGAGTTGTTATCTTACCTCCGAACTCATCTTTAGACTTTTCTCGCTCTGAGGGCTCAGAGAGTTTTAACCCGGTTCGATCGACTCCTAAGTTATCATGGATTCAATCTCCTCCCCCCCTCTGAGATCCGAGAGAGAAAAAGTTTCATTGAGCTCAGCCAAACTTTGGGTCTCATCTCTGAAAGGATTCGATCTTAACCAACTTCAACATCTCGTTCTTTTCTGAAGCTAAAAACCAAAGAAAGAAACAGAGCCTTGGTCCACGTCTGTTTTTCCTATTGAGGAGGAAAAGAATATGTATATTAAATACATTCTATAGACACATTTCCCAACCTTCTCATGTATTCAAACAAGCCCACCAGCGGCCGAGCGGTAAAATCGCTGAACACTGGTAGTTCGGTCCGAGGTTCGAATCCCGCGAACGGACTGGCTGCATGGGCGTTTTCGTGGTTTTCCCTATGTGTAACGTGTATACGATCCAGTTTCCCTTAGAAAGTCCTCCACGAAGACATCCTCCTCTTAGGCAGATAGCCCTCGAGGCTTTGCCATAATCACACACACACACACATGTATTCAAACAAATAATTTCGGCGGATCGACCTCGTTAGGAAAGAGTTCACAGAAAGAGTGTCAACGACAACGGGAATCTTGATTCGCCATTGATGAGAAACTGATAGGGAAAAAAACACGATTGGAAAAAAAAATGGTTGGCAATACATTGTAGAGACATTAGGTTATTCTTTGAAGCAGGGGTCATGAAAAATGAGCAATTCCCTCGCCCGAACTCGAACCGCGGACGTCTCGAATACGGCCGAGTGTGTTCACCACTACACCACAAAGACATGCTAAGAAGGCGAATACCTTGCATACGCTTCTTTTAAAGGACGACTGGGGACTAGGGGACCCAATCGCTTAATTCTGGTGGTGGATAATAATCATCCATCATTTGTTTTAGTTTGGGCGCCACTGTAGATTTATTAAGTATTTTGAAAGCAGGTAATTTGAAAGCAAGATAATTTGAATTAATTCTTCATCGGGAGTTTTACCATATAACAAATTAGCAACATAGGATTTGCGTAAATCTTCAACTTTAAGTTGGTACTTTCCGTACAATTCGGACTCAAACCTCGCTCTGTCTTTGACTACAAGAAAAGCTTTTACCAGAGCAGCTTTAAAATTTTCGAACGTATATGTGGGGCTTCCTATCTCTCTCAGACGAAATTTCGGAATGCCTTTACATTAGTTTAACGCCTGT